AGATTCCATGGCTGAAAACAAGCGAAGTCTCTTTAAGCTCTTGACGTTGAGCCTTGTGTCTCTGGTGACATGTTTTCTCTAGCCTAGCTCTATGAAAGATGACAATCTCAAAACTTACTGTTGCTTTTGAGGGATGTCAAACTAGTCAAAACTGCACACTCTTTGCCCAATGCAATTGGCTGCTGATTTTTCTTGTTTTTGAGTTCCACCACCACTGAGGTAAGTCTTCCCCTATTCCGTGCAACCCTTGCCTCTTATCTCCGCTTCATCCTGCCAAATATCAAAGATTAAACGCCAAATATTTCCCCAAACTTTAAATTTTAAACAATTTTAGTCCCTAAGTATTTTTTTATACTTTTTCCCTCCACAATGAAAGATGCCGTCTTTTTTTTTTTCGGTAATTCCATCTGTTTTATTCGTTTTGGTCCCTGAACTTTTGTTTTGTGCGCAATTTTCGTTCCTAAACTAGGTCTTTTCCCCCATTCTCATGTTAGGGTAAAAGCAAAAATCTGATGATGGAAACAAAATCTGGAAAACACTCTTTGCTTATATAAACAGTCATAAAGTTGAGAAAGTCTACAATATCTTGGTTATACCAAACAGGCTGTATCTCAAACTAGCAATTTTTTTTGACACGTTTTAGATTGTGGGACCATGGAACTCTTAAAAACTAACGTTGTTTCCTACTGTAGGTCTGTCTTCCTTCTGCAATCGGCCTTTCTTATTTCTTTTCTTCTTTGGCCAGCTTTTCCTTTCATTTTACTCTCCACTTTAAGTAAGATAATTATAGAGTCTCTTTCTACTTCTCCCACAGGGTACAAGAGAGATTGCGCTTGAAACCTCCTCCTTCTTAATTAAAATGATCAGCATCAATTAATATAGGCTGTGGAATTTGGGAAATGAAAAAACGAAGGGTTTTGAGAAGCGTTGAAGATGAACAACGGTGGACGGTGGTGTTAAGGAAAATCAGAAGAAAGATGGTAGATGATGGCGAGGGTCTAGGTTCCTAAAGGCACTGTCAACACAAAGTCTCCAGGGCTGATTAAAAATAAAATGAAATGAAAAGCAAATTGTAGATTCCCACTTTGTCTATACAACTTGTAGATTGCCAAAGCACTTAAATTTACAATTTGTGATATTGTACCTCCAAGTTTCAGCCTTGCCTCACCCTCCTCTAAATGAATTTTTAAAGTCAAGGATTGTGTAAAACCTTTCTTTCATTAATTGATGCCGATGGTACACATGATATTGATGATATAAGAATCAAACAATGAAAAGAATCCCTTGGAGGCTGGCGTCATCTCCTCTCTCTGAACTGGAAAGGAAAAAATGTGAATTAAGAAAGTTCAAACCCTGGATGCCCTAAAGAAAGAAAGAAGGAAAACAATGTTAATTTGATGTGTTTTATGGTCCCACAACTTTAAACACGTTAAAAATTTACATGTTATAACTGGGTTATTGTGTATCTTGTCTTCATAATATAATTTTTGTTGATAAACGGTTGAGAGAATAGGTAAGGGAGAAAAAAAGCATATAAAAATAAAATATGCTCTGATGAAAGAAATACTAAAAATTACATTACATTTATAAAATGTGAGATATAAAGTAGAAGACGATAAGACTAAGAAACATATTTTACTGAAACATATCAAAGCTAAGGATGCCAAAGATATCTACGTGCCATCTAACTCAGCTCCATCTAACTCGGCTCCATTGTCCTCGCATCGTTCACCACAGGGACCGTAAGCCCGGCTGCAGAGGCAGAAATAGAGTAGATTTATGCAGCTCATAATGGCAAGGGCCCAGTAATAATAGTGCAAAGGAGCCTTGTCTATGTCAGTCCAAGCCATCTCCTCCCCTCCTTTGGAAGATAGGTCAAGCACGGCGTTTGATACAGCATCGGATAGTAGGGAGGCCACAGCCATTCCTGGCTCCAACAGAGCAACGGCAACGCTGGACATGCTCCTGGGGAGCTCCGTATAGACGAACTCTAATTGTCCTGCTATAGTAAACGCTTGAGCTAGGCCTATCAAACAATGCTGTGGAAGAAGCCACATCGCTGACATATCATCGGAGCTGCCTTCTGTGATAGCCTTCTCTCTTCTGATACTCTCAACAACCGCTGAGGTCACCATTGCCATCGCCGAGAGGAACAGCCCAATTCCCATCCTCGATTTGACACCAATATGTATTGGTTCACCTTTGATCTTCGAGCCCAAGGGGATAACCACATGGTCATAGAGCAAAACCCCCATTAGCATTACTATAATGCTAAATGCAGCAAATGTCCCTCTTGGGATTTCAAATTTATCTGAAATTTGCCTGTTCATGATGCCAGCCTGGAGTAACATGAATTTGGGTTTGCTTACGGTTACCCACAACATAACGCCTGTGCTCAGCAATGCTGCGACCTTTGCAACAGCTTTGAGCTCCTCGACTTGCTCAATTGTGCAAAGCGTCCATGGGTTTACAGCAGACCAATCGGGGGCGATGTCTTCTTCAGGATTTCTGATGAGGCAAGCCTTGTTCAAAAATCTAAGAGAAGAATAGAAACAGAATAAGTTGGTGAAAACCTTCAGGCAAAACGTAAAAATACTATGTCAAATATGGCATGCGAAGATACCTTAAATTATCACTCGGCACGACGATCTTTGAATTCTTCTTGGGAAGGTAACGCCCAATTGAGTTTGTGGGGGGAAGCGAGAGGCTTCTGTTTCTAAAAGCAGCCACGATCACCTGGGCAAAGCTAGTTAACAGGTCTTTCTCCGGTTTCTCCTTAAAATAGCGGGGAGAGCGAAGGAAGAACGTGATAACAAAGAGGACTACCAGGATCAACGGAAATCTAAAGCCTTTTTCCCATCCAAATTTATCTAGCATGTGAGCAGTTGCTGTCGCAGTAATTACAAGAAGAAAGGAGGACGACGCGTAGTAGTACATGAAGTATCTCTCTAAGGACCTCTTATCTTTTGGTTTGAATTGATCAACTCCGAAGGCTGTGGAGGAGCTAACACAACCCGCTCCAATGGAAATAAGAGAAAACGTGGAGAAGAGATAAGTCAATTGCGCTGTCGTTGGGGATCTGCAACTTCGAGTTGATGGATCAGTGCAACGGGGAGGCTTTAATTTTGGAATTATTGTCGTCAACCATAAAAGGAATGTCCCCTGTGCAATTCAAAGTTCAGCATGATTAGTCCCTTGCAAATAGAGTTGGCAATGCAGTTCAATTTAACCGCATGATGCAAGGCATCCAAGTGCATTAATTGAAGACCTCAATCAAATTAAGAAAAAGAACATAAATTCGATGCAAGGGATATTCGTGACGCGAGAAAGAATTGCCTTACTTTTCAAATGCATTGACAAAGTGTAACAGATAAATAGATGGATGCATAGGTAGGTGACAAACTCATTAAAAATAAATAAATCTCCAAAATATGTGATAAGATGCAGACAACTACTAGATATTCACACTCATTCTCTAAACCATGATACATTGATATTCTTTCAGTTCAAAATAACAGACGTTTACACATGGACATGCCATGCCAACGTATAGAGAAAAGGAGAAGGTTTTGCCTGAGATTAAAGAGGTTTAAAGAATAACAAAAAAGTGGAGCGATCAAATGAGGGTCCTGAATCAATTTATGCAATTGGTTTATATATAAGATAATTGTATCCTTTTCTTGGTCGAGTGAACAAAAACACATTACTCGGTATAAATAGTGCTTGTGCTTTTACTATCTCTAACCCCAATAAAAGAATGCAGAGAATACGGTCAACAAGTTTCATAACCATACAGGAAGCTACTGAGAAGAAATGTATATTATTATATCAGACGAGCACATCAAAGTCATTGAAGAAAAGAGGAAAATGATTAGCATATATACAAGGATGAAGGCTAGTATTTTACCAATAGGCTGGATACAGAACCGAAGCCAATGGTAGAAAAACGACCCGTATACGAATCGGAGATGAAACCGCACAAAAGAGCCAGCAAGTCTGTTGTAGCATTCCAGAAGAACATTGCGTGGTTGGCCTTAGCGGTGGTCATGCGATACTCCTTGGTTAGGTAGAGTACCATATTGGAAAGCAGCCCATAGGACACCACCTTCTGGAATGCCTCATTCACTGTAATTTCACAAGTTAATACATCAAAATCAAGATTTCAAAACGCAACACCAGATCATGGGAATTCACCATTTCAACAAGAAATCAGTAAATAAACTCGAAAAACCCATGTAGACAGTACATGCACTTGTGTATTTTATATGGGTATTTAGCCCATATTAAAAGGTTTCACATGTTAGCTATTTTAGTTTAGTGAACACCCAGAACAGTGATTATTCAAAGCTTGAAAAAAACCCAAGTGTGATTGCCAACTGTTTGACTCAATGCGAAGGAATGGAAACGATCTCATTTTATGGTTTTCACACGTACCTAGTATGAAAAAAATGGTGATGAAGCCACCCTTTTCTGTTGTAGGGGCATCCTTGTTTTCATTTTCATTTTCATTTTCCCTAATGATCAATGGCAGAGTTAGAAATATTTTTTAATGGAACAAAGCAAATCCTTGATTAAGAAAGGGTTGCGATGAAAGAGAAATTGAAAAAACAAAAGAAAATTATTATAAAGTAAAATTTATTAGTCTTCAACAATAATTTAATAGTGATTGAATATGAATAAAAGGAAAGGATGAACATATATTGAGTAAAATAATACTGGACCATATGACAAAAGGTTATTAGTGAGTTAACGAACACTTTGTGAAAATGATATTGGAATAATCTTTTGTTCAATGGTTTTTACATTTTTTTCATTTTTCCTATTATCCCTATTTTCCTTATCTTTCTCATCATCACTTAAACTATTCTTCAATAATAGGAAAGTAGAAAATAACTAAAATATATGGAACAAAATACTTAAGAATGAAAATAGTTTAAATAAAACTAAGGGGACTAAACTAACATTGAAGATGCCTGTTGTTGTGAGTGTTGCGAAGTGTGTGAGAATTTGGAAAGGATTCATATTTATTAGTAATTTTATACACATGAGGATATATCTACATGCTTATTACTGGAAATTTCTATCTAGCTAAAAGACGGTGTATAGACAAAAAAATAAACACAGTAAATGAAACAAAAGCATAGAAGGTAACCTTGTTTCTTTAACCCTCCTGTAGTTGAACATCCTTCCTTTAAAGTTTTCGAGTCTTCCCTGAAAGCTTGCTTTTTGCTCTGCCATTTCTTTCTCCCTCAATCTTTTTGCTTTTGTCTCTCTTATTTTCTGATTCCTCACTTTAATCTCCTCCCTGCCCATCTCTAATATTTATACTGACTCAATTTGTTAGTATATACCAACTTAATAACTTATTGTCCCTAATTTTAGTCTCCCAAAATCTTCTCCTGACAGTCCTTAAATTCTCCTAAATTTCCTCACCCGCCCCTAAACATAATTGGTCCTATATTAATGGAACGATTTGGTTTTAGCGGGATGGAACGCTGAACACGGCAAGCAAGTTATAACCATATTTCATTATCAATAATTTTCGTTAGTAAAACAACATTTAGTACAAAATAGAATAGGTGTGCATAAAAACTTATTCTCTTCATTCAATTTTAATGGACATAATTTCTAATTGAATTTTTCTAAGTTATAATAGGGCACCTTTTTAATATAAAATTCTATAATAAAAAAAAAAAAGAGAGTAAAAGTTAACATTAATTTTAATATCGTTGTCACATGAATAAATTTAATTAAATAATTAATAAAATAAATGTTATTTTTTTAATATGAACTTGTTATCCATCTCTCATTCAATAATTCATATTATGCAATTTAACATAATTCAGACCATACAACAGCTTTTTATTAAAAAAAAAAAAAAAACTTTTGTTCTCCTAATTTATAGAGAATGTTTATTTTATACATGGTCAAAGTTTAGCTGGGTGGTCTATTACAATTGGGGCGGGGGATTTCTCGTGATTTTTGACAGCGTGGACTATTCTCGCCTGTGGAACTGTCCAGCGTTCCATTAATGAAACAATCCGTAACGGAGTACGAACGGTACGTGAGTCTCATGACATGTTGCCATTTAGTTCGCCCAATTGTTTAAATGACGCAACGTTTATGGGCTAACATATATTGTATGTTGGGGGTTGAAATCCTCAAA